TACCCTGTACTCGTAGCTCAGCCCTGTGCTCTGGAATTTGCATTTTGCTCGCAAATGGTGATCACTCATTGGTCAGTGCGGTCAGAAGCGCTTCTCATTGGTCACTGTGGTCAGGTGACCGCGCTGACCAATGCATGCTTGCCATTTGGAATTAAGGAGGAGCTTGGCTGCTCTATACGGCAGTACAGAGTACGGATTGTACACCGGCAGAGGGGAAGTAGCCCTCACCGAACGGTAAGTGTTCCCCCGGGGATCGGAAGCGGTAATTTCACTTGGGAGAGCGTACTTGCCCTTTAATATATTACAACTTCGCAGGTTTTTTTTAGATGTGGCGGCCGCGTTAGTTTTTCTCAGGCTGAAAACATCTTGGCAGGAAGTGCCCGTTAGTCCTGCCAGGAATTCTGTGTCCTTGTCACTTCCTGTGAGATGACCTGGAAGGACTAATCCTTCCACCCGCCGTGTGAAATGTATAAACATGTTGTGACCTCCCGGGCTGCCTCCATAGATACAGCGGAAGAGTGAGCGTAGCCGCGCGGGGACAGGAAGTGTGTTACTGGCAGGGTCGCGGAGTAAAGGGGAAATGAAAACGAATGCGGCCGCTTCATCTCGGGACTTGCGCGGTTAAAGCAGAGGAGCGCACATCTTATGAGAAGATGCTCCTGCGCGGTGTTCCAGCTGTGTGGGTGGAACTACGAATCCCATGAGGCTTTGCAAGCTTCTCACAGACATGACTCCCGGAGAGAGATGCATCATGGGATTCGTAGTTGCACCGCAGCTGGAGGGCCGCAGTTTGGACATCCCTGGAAGAGAGTCCGTCTCCAGACCAGTCCATTCCGTGCACTGCAAGGGTTAACTTTTCTCTTTTTAGGTCTAGGGCTGAAAATAAGTTATGTTCACCTGATCCTCGGAGCTGGCCGCCTCCCTCCAGCCTGTCTCCTCCTCCTCCACTGCAGTGATGGTATGTCCCTTGGCATCCTATACGCTGTGTATAGCACGTGATGACTGAGGGACTTAACTCCACCGCAGTGGAGGGGGAGAGACGTTCCAGGGACCTAACGGCAAGCCAGCTCCGAGGATCGGGTGACTCTCTAATGTTATCTTCAACCCTAGATGAGGAGGAGGAGTTAAGTCTTGCGGGGGAGGGGGGGGGTACAAAGGGTTAATAAGACATTTTTAAATACCGACTTTAAAATTGAGAGTAGAAGCACAACGCAGGTAATGGTCTCTTTCGGCCTGCGTATGTTCCAGCAATATCATAACCGGCCACCAGGTGGCGCTCGGCTTGCGCTGGATTCGGGGATTGCTGCGCTGGAATGATACGGTTTGTAGTTTTTGGATCCACGATGAGCATTTGAAGTCGTCTTGCTGCACATTTGACCTTTTTTTTCCTCTCCTGGTGATCAGACGGCGAGGACAGTGGTCTGCGACGGAACGCCCCACCAAAGTGTAACGCTGTGTATGGAATGTGGAGGGCGGCGTAGCTTGCAGCATGCTGTCCCCTGCACACAACGCCGAGCTTCCGGCACTGAGGAGAGGGGAAGACGAGTTACATCCCCCGCTACCGTCCCGTTCACAAAGAATACAAGGCGTCCTGTGATTGGAGGAGAGCAAGGGACGGAATGTGACGACTTCTCTCCTCCAATCACAGGGCGCCTCGTATTATTTGTGAACGGGAAGGTAGTGAGGATGTAACTCGTCTCTCCCTCTCCGCAGTGCCGGTGTTCTGTCAGGAATGCTGACCCAGTCCAATTTGCCGACCTGACCATCTGCACGCCCACACCGGGATGAACGAGGAAACAGCCGTTTATTTACAAAGTATTTATTTCTAATTGTGACCGTGTGCTGTCCACGGCTGTAGGTGCTGGGCGGCTGTAGGTGACGCGGGGCTGTAGGTGACGCGGGGCTGTGGGCGACGGGGGGCTGTGGGCGACGGG